ATTTAATTAATATCATTAAAGACTTCTGTTGATTACAATTGATTAATCGACTAAACACAGCGGTGTAAAGTACCTAAAACATTTACTTACTATAAGGGTTTGAAAAGTACTTGTCCTTGGGTATTCTGTCATTTTATTCCACTACATTTTGGAGAGAAAATATTGCACCTAGGGCTGCAACTAACTATTATTTTCATTGTCGACTAATCTGTTGATTATTTCAATTATTTTCAATGTCGGTCTGTCTCTCCCAAACCCAAAATTATGTCATCTCATGTCTTGTTTCGTACTCAGGCCAAAGGGTTTTAGTTCACCGTCATGGGAGAGTGTAAAGCTGCCAATATCTGAAGCAATAATATCTAGCTGCAATAAGAGTATTTTGGGGTACTTTATAGTACTTTTCTATGAAAAATGACTCAGACCGATTAGTCGACTACTTAAATAGTCACCGATTATTTCAATAGTCGATTAGTCATTGATTAGTCGACTAATCGCTGCAGCCCTACTAGCCTATACAATAATTCACAGCTTTAGTTACTAGCTATTTTCCAGGCTCGGATTAATACTAAATATAAAATCAACTGCTACATTATAAACGCCTATTGTTATACATTATTACAAGGGGTGGGGGAAGAAAATCGATATAGCATAGTATCTCGATATTTTTGTGTGACAATATGGTATCATTACACAGACACCAAATATTGATTATTTTATGATATAAATCAGTAATGTTAACTAGGGATGGGCAAACGATCAAAATTCATTATTCGATCATCAAAAAAAATGAACGATCAATTATCGATCAATTGATAAGCAAGTATTTCAAAAGAGAGAAAACAAAAGAGTGCAGTGCAGACTGTCGCCGCAAGAGAGCGCAGCTGCCCCAGTTTTGAGCTCCAACCCCCCAGGCCAAAGAGGAAGAATGGCTCGCATGCGCAGTCCACAACCGTTGCCAGCCAGAGTTACAGGCTTCAGTTTTCAGCAAAACCTCCGTCTTTCAATGGCGTAGTGTTTTCAGAGGCCTCAAGGGAAGCCGCCGAGGCTTTGGAGAGCGATGAGAGCCTCCGTCTGTTTCTGATTTTTTGCCTGGCATAGGTCCGGCAGGGGTCTCGTAAGCCCGTCGAGCCAGGCGGAGGGTCTCGTTGGCACGGCGGCTCGCCGGACCTATGCCAGGCATTGTAGGGGAAACACTGCGACTATCGATCAAAATTATTTGTGATCGATCAAAAGCCTTAAAAATCAATCATCTATAATCGAAAATTGATGCCCATCCCTAATGTTAACATTTGGTAGCCTACTAGAATAATATAATCAGCTTCTTTTTCAGTTTACTATTTACATTTTGCTGCAATAAAACTGAAGCGAGATGAACAGACTAACTATTTTGTTGTTTTGTCTTGTCGTGATCTGACAACTTGGTCACATGACTTAATCACATGATCTCCAACACATGCTAAACATGACTTGAACACCTGTGTGCAATATCCTGATGAAGACGAAATGCGTTGATATCCCCGTTTTATTAAAGGATTTTTACACAACCCCAGAGTGCCTCGGACTCTTAGTTTGGACTACCTTTTGTTACATTTTTGATATCTCTGTTTACGAATAGGACAGTCCTTCTTCTTTTTTTATACATCAATTTTTTTCCTTGACCACGAAGAGCACCTGTGTGTTTTTTTGATTCCTTTTACTCTGACCCAGGGCAGCACTCACTTTTTTCTTTTGTTTAACTATTTTATTCGATGAAACTTTTCCTTTGGGGACATAATTTGCAATTAAAAAAAAGTAAATAAATTGCAATTATCGCAATATAATTTATCGCAATACTCAGCATATCACAACATGTTTAAAATCGCAATAATACTGTATCGTGACTTTGCTACCCGTAGTTATTCCTACTAGTGCTACGCGATTTGTAATGACAATTATATTGCGATATTTTCAGGTTATATCTCGATACACAATATATTTCTTGATATCTTTAAATCTCAAAAGCACTTCATTAATGCTTGGACTGGGAGAGAAAAGTGAACAATATTTCTTGCAAATACCTGCAAAACAGTTGTTTAGTTTTTTGTTTGTTTTGTATGTTGTTTTTCTGGTAAGTGGATAAATTCGCATCATCTTACCGTAATGCAGCCTTTAAACCGAGGGAAAAACACCATCTATGCCATATCACGATACGATATTAAAAATCTAATACGATATGTAGTCTTATATCTCGATAACTATATTTGCCCAACTTTATTTTTTTATTGCAACATCAAATTCGTGTAGACATTAATCTAGTAACATAATGTGTATTTTTCTGAAATGATTTGGCATTACAAGTACATTAATTTTTTGTTCAGATGCCAATATTGAGGTACTTAGGCTTAATTAAGATGTTAAACATAAGACTTTTAATTGTAAGAGTGTTTGTACACTGTAGGATCGCTATTATTACTCAAATAAAACACCCAAACACTTAAAAGTTTCAGCTCTGATGTCTATAACGACACCATGCCCCCCAAATGATGTTAAATATCTTACCTTTGTTGTCCGCACCGTGCTGGTGGTCCAGTGATTCAGCAGGGATGTCCCGATGCTAGCTCCCAAAAGAGCCGTTAAGGAAGCACTAATATCGGGATAAATAGCAGCAGTAGTCACCGGTGCAGGTGTCCGGCTCCTAGAAAGTCCCTCCTCTGTGGTCTGTTTACAAACCGCCATGTTAGCACAGCCATGTTGGGTGTGGCGTCCTCCTCAGCTGCTGTTAGCAGGTGCTAGCAGACTGGTTTGAGGCTAACGTTAATTAGCAGCCAAGTTTGTCCGCGTTAGCTAACGTTAGCCGGAACAAAAAACGCGGGAGCAGGTGTATCTTCGAGAATGACGGCGGAAGTTGAAGTCTTCTTCTTTTCCTCGCGACATCATCCTGTTATCAACTTAATAAAAGGGTTTCCATATATTTGGGCTCCATTAAAAGCAGTTGCGATAGTTTTAAACTGGCTTTCCTGCACAGCCGCTGAGAGACGACTGGTGAGCACAGTGGGCGGGTGAACAGCTGACCTTCGACCTTTCGATAGGCCACGCCCCCCTTAGTTACAGTTGCTAGGCGCGCCCGTTCCAAACGTTCCACCTGCTTCCAAACTCCTCCAGTATTTTGAGTTCATGATTTCATTGACAGGAGATGAAAATAGTTTCCTTTTTTAAAAAAAATTCTGGCTAAAAAGGCAACTGTTCATGGCCAGTTTTATCGACTGTATCTAACTCGCAAACATTAACTAGCAACAGCTCTGATTATTTTATGAAGTCTATAGAGTCCCCTTCAGTGCCACACCGCTACTAAATAAATATATTTTGACTTTTCTCCAACCAAACTTTGTAAACTAGTTAAAGTATTTTTACATCTCGATCACACAGAAAGTGTTTAAGCAGCTGGAGGCAGCTTTTTATCATTGTTTTTAATGAGAATGAAGCTTTTTGACCGGAGTTTTTGCGTTGCAATGCGCCTCGCGTTTCTGCGCTCTGGGTGCCCGGCGATTTTTGCTGAAGCACTCTCTCACTCGTCGAGTTGAAAAAACTTCAACTCAAAGCAGAAAAACGGCCCATGTCATCTTTTTCCCCATTGTCCAATCGGATGATTTGAGAGGCGGGCCTTCTGTGGTGGTCACGACAATGGAGGAGAAACTGGTGGTAGTGGTTGCTGGATACCCAGAGTTATATGGCCCAACGATAGACTCCTATTGTTACTCTTTCAGGCACTGGTTTTGCTGGTTTGGTTTGGCCATGGTTATCTGCTGGAAAACGGTGGACTGCCCCCTCTGGGTTGGGAGACAGTTCCTGCCTCAAGCGGGGGAGTTCAAGTATCTCGAGGTCTTGTTGACAAGTGAGGGTAGAATGGAGCGGAGATGGATCGGCGGTTTGATGCGGCTTCTGCAGTGATGCAGGTGCTGCACCGGCCCGTCGTGGTGAAGATGGAGCTGAGCCAGAAGGCAAAGCTTTCTATTTACTGGTCCATCCACGTCCAAACCCTCACTTATGGTCATGAGCTCTGGGTAGTGACCGAAAGAATGAGATTGCAGATACAAGCGGCTGAAATGAGTTTCCTCCGTGGACTGTCTGGGCTCAGCCTTAGAGATAGGGCGAAGAGCTCGGAGTAGAGCTGCTGCTCCTCCACGTTGAAAGGGGTCAGCTGAGGTGGTTCAGGCATCTGATCGGTTGGGCGCCTCCTGTTGGAGGTGTTCCAGGCACGTCCCACTGGTAGGAGGCCCCAGGGCAGACCCAGAACACACTGGAGGGATTATATATCTCGTCTGGCCTGGGAACACCTTGGGGTCCCCCAGGAGGAGCTGGAAAGCATTGGGAAAAGGGATGTCTGGGGTGCATTGCCTGGTCTGCTGCCCCCGCAACCCGACCCCTGGATGGTTTTGCTTTTGTTCCTTGAAAACACTTCTTATCTTGTATATTTGTATATTTTGCCAGATATTTAATATTTTATTGTTTCTAAAACTGGGCCCAGTTAGTGACCCTGACCCGGGGAACCCACTGGTTGTTCTGGTTGTTACTGGTTCTGAAAGTGTGGTTACTGTCCTTGGTGTTATCATAATATGAAGCACTCTCTGGCACAAAAATTTCCTTCAGACTAAATAAAGTTCTATTGAACTGAATTAAATTAAAAAAAATCTGATTGTATAATCAGACTGTCAAGCCTGAAAAACATAAATTAACCTATTAAAAAAAAAACTCTTTTTTTTTTTTCACTGCAACAAATATTGCTAGGAATGATGAAGTGTTGACAGAGGGACTCTAGAACTCTGCCCCCCTCTTGTGGTCTGAATTGTACATTACACCCACATGCTTACTTGACAGCAGACTATCTAGATAATTTATTGTGAATGTATTGTTTTGATATTTTAGCTCTCCTTTGACACAGTAGTAGAAATTGAGTTTCACATTCATAATCATCAATAACTTCATAACATCCATTTTAAACCTGGAAATGATTGAAGCTTTCAGAGTGTTCAACCTGTGTTTATTGATCCACTGATGTGTCTGCTCATGGTTTCATAAAGCGACTCAGATACAACACAGCCAGGATTTTACTTCAGAATAGAAATCTGTAAAAACACACACACATTTGAAAAACACACACACACACACACACACACACACACACACACACAAACCTTCATCGTCAGCTTGGAAGTCGACAAACTCACACATACACACCTTAAATAGCAGCTGTTGTGCAGCAAAAACAAGCAAAGACAAAATAATTAATGGAAATCAAACTATTACAGAAACACAAATCACCTACATTAAAAAACGTACCTCACGTTGTATTTACTCATTAAAGGGGAATGTCACTGAATCTGAGACCTCAAGATCACATTTCTGCATGAACAAACAAAAACAAGGGAACAAGAAAACGCAGTAATCTGTCGTGCTTCACTTGAGATGGATTAAAGGTCAGTTTCTTCCATTTTTAAATATTACAATATTAAAAATTTTGGAAGGAAAATCAATTCTCCATGTGAATAAATTTGTTTTATACACCAGTAGCGTGGTGACTGTCTCAGGAAACTCAATCCGAGCTTTTCAATAAGGTCCTTAAAAAATAAATTAACTTAAAACAAATTATTTAAAAGTCCCTGTTTCCAGATGGAATGAATATTTCAGTAAATACAAGAGTTTTAAAAACAGCAGTAACATTACGAGGAGATACAGAGAGGAAGCCTCGCTGCTAGTCTACATTCAACTCAGAGAGAAAGACAGAAAAATTAAAGTCCGCGTTAGATGTGGAGCTCGGAGGATCGAGTTCTCCAAAATCATCTCAGCAAACTGATCACAGGTTTGAACTGGATGCTGGCGGCAGGCTGTTAACACTGTCTCACAGAAGTTAGTGGTTGGTGTTTTTCAGAGCTGCAGCTGATACTTTTCTTCTAAATCAATAAATTATTTAGTTGATAAAATGTCAATAAATGGTGAAAATCGCAAGTTCCCAGAGCCCAATGTGATATCTTCAGATTCTTTTTTTGTCAGACCAACAGTCCAAAAGCTAAAAATATTCAATTTACAATCATATAAACCAGAGAAATACAGATGTTAATTTCTGCATAACAAAAAAAAGGTTAATCCACTTTCAGATTCCGAAATTGTTACCTCTTAAGCTGTTAATCGAATGATTGACTTATCATATCAGCATTACAATTTTCTGTAACTGATTATTTGGTTGACTTTAATTACAGGTTTGTGCAAGTCTGTTTATGATCTGTCTGTCTGACTGCTCCTGTTTCTTATCCTGTGGACTTAATTTGATGTCAACACGCACCCAGATCTTGGCAATTAACCTGGAGAGTATGTTATCTCTTAAATGAAAACTTGAACTGCAAAATGACCGTTTGTTTACAGCTACTCACTGCGTTACCTTGAATTCATGGAGAAAACTTTGGTTTACTTGCGTGCCTCAATGGTGGACGGAGGATCCAAAAATTTGTATGTGGTGCCCATGTGGGTAGTAAATGGGCTAAAAAACTGACCCTATATAGGATTGTCAACAGGTTCCATAATGGCCTCATGCCAGTTGCCCACATAATTTGGTTGAATCAAGTGGGCCCCACATAGGTTATGCCAGGGCTACCTGGGTACCAAGTGGGTATGGGCCATAAAGGAGCCCACTTGGGTAAACCCACCCATGTGGGCAACTGGCATAGGGCCAATGGTGAACCTTATGACGTGTAAGGTACCCTGGATATGCCGTTTCAAGTTCTGTCTGTCACATGCATTGTCTTCTTTCAAAATACACTTCTGTTTTCACAGGAAATTTAACATTTAAATACAGTCTCTTTCAAAATAAAGGCACTGCGTCGGTACAACACTGTGAACTGACGTTTTTTTTCCCCCTTCAACAACAAAAACACATGGTTGGGTTAGGAAAAAGAACGGGGTTCGACTTTAGGATCTCACAAGACGCAAACTCTCACCAGTGAAAGTTGGTGTTTGTTGGACCCATCCAGCACCCCTCCTGCCTGCCCCAGTTGGACTTTCACCGCCTTAACTTTTGTCCTTGTCTTGCTGCGTTTCTCCCTGATGCCACCGAGCGCCGTTAAACTTTAAAGCAACCAGCCGCATATCATGCCGATGTTAAAGGACGCCTTTTTTCGTTGGTTTCTGACACCACAAGCCACTGTCCAAGCGCCTGATTTTGATGACTTCGAGTGAGACCAGGGTCGACAATCCCACATAGAGCGTCACATCCATTTACAGCAAATGTGGGCCCCACATACAAATGTTGGCTGGGAAGCTGGCGGCTGACGCTGAGCAGCTCAGCTGGAAAACGAAGGTTTGCCCAGTTGAAGTGGGCTGCAGAGGCTTCATAGGCAAGTCAACTACCAGGCTGCTTAAAGAATTGGGAATTCTAGACCAAGCCCATCGTCAGGCCATCAAAGCCCTCTCTGGCTATGGATTAAGAGGAGAGACGCCACTTGGGCCTCGAAATACCACCAACAGCAGGGTTTGAGAGAGTAAAAGCGGGGGGGTGGGGGGGTGCCAGGTTTTGCCAATTAGCCCTCTGGAGGTGTCGTGGGTCCATCATCGAAACAGCAGTGAAGGACGGTACCCACCTGATGACCCCTATGAAGCTTTTACCCTCCCTAAACCTCGACCATCTCCTCTAGCATGGCTCCAACTTTCACTCACAATCGCAACTATGTGCAACAACAATTGCCCAGTTAAAGTCCACCTCTATTTAAGTTAGGTAAGTTTTTCTTTTCCCGCATCAAAAAGAGAGAGTGGGGGAGGTAGAGTGTATGGCCTTGTCCGGCAAGGGACAGTCCAGTCCCCTCAGACATCTCTCCTTGGCTCTTCCTTCCCTATGCTCCTTCTTATCTTTCTATCTACCTTTGCCATGTCTTTTGGCCTTTGGCTCCCACTTGGACCCTCAGGTGGCACTATTACTCTGACTCATAGTTTGAAGTATGTTCATCAAGGGATTGTAACATCTAGTCCTAAACTTCTTGGACACAGATGATTTAACAGAATATTGCTATTTTTAAACGTAGTCTCCTATGACTTAAATTTATCGAGAATGTTTGCTGTTTTTGGATTCTTTGATCACCGTAGAGACATGCGAGACAAACAAAGTTTCCTTTACGAAGTCAACGTTACACAGGGGGAGTAACTGACATACAGATGGTCATTTTGCAGAAGTGCTCCTTTTAAGCAAAGATTAAAAAGTAAATCAAAGCAGACCTTTAAAATGCTACAGTTTGGATCACTGTTGATAAATGTTGATGATACGGCCGATTTCTCACACACCCAGGAACTGCAACATGTTTCAGACACTTTAAAACCATGTGTAACAGTACAAGATCTCATTTAGCAAAATCAGTGACTTGAACCAGATGTTTCGAGAAGCTGCAGACTGCTTTTACTAAGTTTTGAACCGGAGAGCTGATCCAGGTTCAGAGAGGAGCCAGGGTGCGTCACAGCTCTGTCTTCTGCCCGGACAGAGGCATCTGTGGCTGGATCTCCTCATCCGATGATGCCCCTCCGTCCATCTTCTCCGCCGGAGCTTTGCTCTTTTTCTTCTTCTTCACCTTCTTTTCCTTCTTCTTCTTGGTCGCCTTCTCGCCCTCCGAGCCGCCGTCTCCGCCCTCTCCCTTCTTCCCCCCCTTCTTCTTTTTCTTCTTCTTCTTGTCCTCTGCGATGGCTGCCTGGTCTCCCTTCTTCTTTGAGGCCCACTCCTCATTCAGGCAGGCTGGGCAGAGAGAGGGAAACAGAAATGGTGAATGAAAGAGAAGAGTCAAAATAAACAAAAGAAAAACAAAAAGAGATTTCAGAGGGAAAAGGTAGAAGAAATAAAGATGTGTGTGTTACCCATGTCCTGTCCTTTGAGAACATGTTTCTCACATAAGTAAGTGGTCAGGTCTTCCTCCTGGCTTCCTTTGTACCAGTCCTCAATCACGTCCTCATATTTCTCTATCAACGTATCGCACTGAAACACAAGTTCCCAATGAATATCATTTACGAACACATTTCAGAAGGCTGTTTTGGTGATTCTGCAGCAGAATTCACTCCATAAAAGTAAAGCCCAGTTCAGACCAAAGATTCATGACGAGACGAGTTGAAACTTGTTTCGTCTCTCGTTGTGAATCTTTGGTCTGAACTGACCTTAAGTAAGTAAGTAAAGTCTATTTATAAAGCGCTTTTCACCGACATAGGTCACAAAGCATTTCACAAGGGCAATATAGAAAGACAAAGTGACACCGTGAGCCACGTCGTACCAAAACTATTTGCAAACACACAAGAAAAAAACATAAGAATTCACACTACTCAGCAACAATACATAAATTTGAAAAAGTCCAGCTCTAGTGCATACAGGTTATCCAAAGGCTTGTCATAAACCGGTGTGTCTTCAGCTGGCTTTTAAAAGAAACCAGAGTCAGCAGATTGTAAGAGAGCAGGCAGAGCATTCCAAAATTTAGGTGCTACTGCCGCAAAAGCTCGATCACCTTTTTTTTTGGCAGATGAACAAAGAAACTCAATTAGAAAATGTGTTTTTAGGTACAACTAATGAAATCTTGTTTGTTTATATTATTTTGCCCAGTTTTTCTTTGTAATTGTTCCTGAAAAGTGAAACTCAGAGAATGTAGAAGCACCTGTTTTTTAAGGTCGGCCACTTCTGCCGAAGTCTCGTTCCACAGCTCGTAGGGAATATCCATCACCACGTTCACTCCTTTATTCACCAAACCATGAAGGGTGGAGAAGGTCTCTGACATGCCCTGTAGACAGACAGACTGACAGACATGATGGTGCTGTCAACCAGGACACAAAAGTTCCAGAAGATTCCACCATCAGGCATTTCATTCACTGGCAGAGCTGGAGGGCTTTTATTATAGTGTGTGACGCCAAACTAACTTGTATCCTGAAACAGTTCATGTCAGTGTTAAGTTAGGCTGCCCCCTAAAGGTCAACCATACATTAGTCGACCGGAAAAGTCATAGGTGGGCAAGATTTCAGTGGTTGCTTAGCTGCAGAAAAAGACACACATGGGATATGGGGGGATGTCTAAAATCTACGCCTATGGCATCTGTCACCATGGTCGATGCGGTGTGTTCTACAACGTTGCCCCTCATCGCACCCCATTTTGGCTAATTCAGCATATTAAATCAGCGCCAGTAACAGTGGAGTCCATGAGTGAATGAAATCACTCTGATTGGCAGCTCAGCTCAGCGCGCCAGAAGAGAAATGAAGTGAGGAATGTAAACAAACCGCTAAAGTCAAGCGGGAGTGCGACCAAAACAAACTTGTTTCATAAGGTAAGATTATTTTTTCTTAGCCATTGAGCAGAAATGTTTCCTGATGGTTTGTGTTGTTGTTCATTGGCACACGGTACATATGCTCCGTTCTTTCATCACTGGATTGTGTTGTTAATGTGCTAACTTGCGTAGTGATGGTCTTCTGGTTTCCCTTGTTGAGGGACGATTATAGACGATCGCTGTCGGCTGGTGTGGAGAGATATGTCCTCTCACGCAGTCACAGAACGTGTGCTGGTTGGGTGACCACGTAGATTCAATGTGTTTCATTCAACCGTAAATAAATCACAAAAGGAAACTGTTCTTACATCTACTAGAAGAACTTAAATACAGCTTTGCCAAACAGCTAACATCACAGTGCAGCTGCACAACAGCCAAGTAAAATAACAGCAATAAATATCTGTGACAAAACACACACACACACACACTGACCTTGGCGAAGCGGTTACTTCCAGTCCTCTCCTTGTGCAGATTGTACTCTAACAGCCTCTGACACACATTTTCAACAACCTCGATGAATCGCAGGTCTCTGTGGAGAGAGACAGAGAGAATATTCAGGGTTATCTGCAAGAGTTTCACGTTTAAACCTTCTGTCAGACATGTGAGCGCTGCGTAGTTTGTTTATAGCCTGATGTTAGCTTCTAACTTCTGGCGACTGCACCTACACTTCAAAAATCATAGAAGTGGTGTCATTTAAGATCATGTTGCTGAACTAAACTTGTAGGTATCATAAATGTTTGTTTGCCACAGAGCTTATTTTCTATAGCGATCCACCAGGACCCAGAGCGATGTTAAAGGGTAACTCTGGTATTTTCTAACCTGGACCCGATTTTCTTATGTTTCTGTGTGTAAGTGACTCATGGCAGAAACAGTGTTTGAAACTGGTCCAGAGTTGAGTGAGACCGCTGCAGCTGGCAGCAGCGAAACAGGCTGCAGTGTGACCACATGGGGCAATTGTGCATCGTCAATGTACATCCACCAAAACTGTTTGTTTTTGTCACTGACAGGCTCAGATTGTTATTATAAGTATGACGTAATTATGGAAAGGATCCCTACAGAGATAGGCCATTTTTCAAAGCGTAAGATTATTTTTGTTGAGCCAGAAACAGCCTCGTAATCGCTATCACCGAACCCACCAGACTCCATTTAAAAAAGCAGTAATTTTATCGTCATACAACACACTTCATTGAAAGTCCACAAATACAAAATAAAACTCACAAAAGCCATCTTGATTTGTCTTTCAAGTGTTCCAACAATCACAAGCTCAGGTTTGGTTAAAATAAACCCTTAATTCACTCAGTTAGATGTTAGAATATGCTCCCTCTATACACGCTTAAATTATTGTTTATTTAAATGGAGTCTGGTGGGTTCATCAAAAAGGATCTTACTTGTTAACACAAAGGTTTATCTCTGTAAGGATCCTTCCCATTATTTTGTCAGATACGTGGCAGAAACAAACTCTTGTAGTGGACATACATTGAGGGTGCGCAATTGCCCCAAATGGTCACATTGCAGCCTGTTTCACTGCTGCAGGCTGCTGCCCTCTCTCTCAATACTGGACCAGTTTCAAAAGTTGCTATTGGTCACTTAGGATGCATTCACACTGGCACTATTTGGTCCGCTTTAAACGAACCCTGGTCCGCTTCCAGGGATAGTTCGGTTTGTTTGGGGTGTTGTGAACGCTCATTCGAACTCTGGTGCGGACCAAATGAGCGAACCCTGGTCCGCTTGAAAACTGGGGTCTCGGTTCACTTGTGGGAAATGCAAATGGACTATCAAGCGAACCAAAGAGAGGAAGTGACGTAGAGCGCAGTGCATTTTGGGTAGAAAAAAAACAAAGCCAACAGCACGAACCGCAAGAAGCAGAGGTAAAAAAAGAAAAAGTTGGGGTCGTGGGGTCGAATAGTCCTGGTCCTGGCCAATCAATGAGCCAGGTTTTCTTCTTCCTCGTGCTTTTTTTCTTCCTGGTCAGTGGTCGTTTCGGGCAATACCGCCCTCAAACGAGCAGCTGTTGTAACTGCGTGACGTTGCCCAGGCAGTTTGGTCCACTTTAAAAAAGTGCAGTGTGAAAGTGAACCGAACCAAATGAAGGTGTGAAATTTTTCGGCTTTCCCCGCCCAATCGAACCGAGTCCCCGGACTACCGTGGTGTGAATGCGCCCTTCGACACAAATGTGGGACGACAGGGTCAGGATGAAAAATACCCTTACCCTTTAACTTCAACAAACGTCCTCCCAGCAGCACTCCATGCAGCCACTGCAGGATGGAAACAAACGTGTCTACGTGTAACTGAATTTGAAACAATTCCACTGTTTAATAGTCCTGAATCTGGAAGAGTTTAAGACTTGTTCAGGCTCTCTTATCACACACACACACAGCACCATTAACACCAGCTCTCCAGCTTCCTTGTTCTATAATGAGCTCCACCAAAGGAACTGAAACTGACCATATTCCTGTCCCCTGCTGCCTGAGTGTGTGTGTGAGAGAGAGCGATCCAGAACCATCCCAGCACACTCTGTCCATCCTCAGACAGCAGGGATGGAGGTCTGAAACTAGGCTGAACTGTGTTCTGCTTTGACATACTGTCACATGTAAAACCATAACATACAGCACACACACTTACGACTTGACATATTTGATTGGCGGCGCCCCCTTGCTGTCTATGAAGCGGTAGTTCCTGTCAATGACCTCCTTGGTTTTCCCCGTCTCGTCGAACGCCGACTTCATCTCGATGCTGACAAACTTACACACTGGGGAGCAAGACGCAAAGAGAGTGTTACTAAAAATAAAAGTTCTTCTGAACTGGGAATAAATATATCCTTCCTTAATCATGACACAACTTTGTAAAGTTGTCTTGATCATTCAGCAACGCTGCAGGCTGCCATTGGTCTGAATTCAGTATCATCAGCTGATCGACATATATAAATATAGGCACATAGGCACATTATATGTGGTATAAATAAACACATTGATGGCGGGTTTTTGTAGCCTTCATATTCCTCCATCGATACTGGCCTCAAAATCCCATCGCCTTCATCACATAAGGGAGCTGCCACACTGTTTCACACTTTCTAAATTTCAAGGTTACAAGGCTCATGTATTTGGCATTTAACAACACAGGGCTGCACAATGAAACAGAGGTTGTAGCCCCTTCATGCTACACACATATAGAAAATATGTTTAAACATTCACCGTAAGACTTCAATTGGTAGGGACCGGGCTATCTTACTATATAATGACGAAAACTCTGTGTGTGTGTCTGTTCCACGTTTTTCTCCTCACTGACTTGGTCAATCCATGTGAAATTTGGCACAGTGGTAGAGAGTCATGGGAGGATGTGAATGAAGCAATATTACATCAATTGGCCAAAGGGGGGCGCTATAGCAACCCATTGAAATTGCAAACTTTGAATGGGCATATCTCATGCCCCGTATGTCGTAGAGACATGAAACTTGGCACAGAGATGCCTCTCCTCATGAGGAACACATTTGCCTCAAGAACCCATAACTTCCGCTTATATAGATTTTCCGCCATTTGAAAAACACTTCAAATGGATCTCTTCCTAGGAAGTTTGAGCGATCTGCATGAAACTTGGTGAACATAATCTAGGGACCAATATCTAAAGTTCCCTCTTGGCAAAAGTTGGAAAACTTACTAAAACTGAGCTTCTATAAGGCAATGAATATTGCGGAGGGCGTGGCTCATCACATAAAGGTGTATAACATCTCAAGGGTTTCACCCATCACCACGCAACTTTGTAGGCATATGACCACACATAATCTGAGGGGACCCCTCCATTATTGACCCCATCAAACAAAATGGGGGCGCTAGAGAGCTCATTTCTTATCTAGGCCTAACCGCCATATTGATTTTTACTAAACTTGGTAGATATGTAGAACAGGACGCCTCAAGGTGACTGGAGAAATTTAACTCTAATTGGCAACTGGGTGGCGCTATAACAATATATATATTTCTACTACATCTAATAATATATATTTCACGACACCCGAGGATAACAACACGGCATACCGACACAACACCACTATGTCCTGTTAAGACAATATTGATAACTTGGATTAATTTTTATGAAAAACCGTTTTGATTCCTTTCATCAGTGGAGCCTTACGGACTAAAGGAATATGAATAACCTACCAAGTAATCAAGGAACTGACTTTGACAGCTTCAGATGAAGGGAGTCACCACTTTTTTCGTCATGCCGGTAAATCCAAATGACTTACGCTCTTCTCTGGTGCTCATAGTTTCAGTAAAATCAAATAAACCAAGCTAACGATGAGTAGCATCTCAAAGTTTAAACATCTATGTTCGCATGTGCGATCTACACAGCTAAATTTAGCTCAAGTGGGTATTCAACAACCGTTTTTATACATCCGAAGAACCCTAATAAATATAGACAGCTTGGCAACCAGACCAGGCCTCTAATAGAGACAGGCCTTTATTTGTCATAATGTGTAGCAGCACCAGGCCGGTAACTGAACACCAGGTGTTTAACTGGAGTTTTAAGGTAAATTAGAACAAAATAAAACAAGTACATTAGATCTGCGGCAGGAGGGGACTATGCAGTAACTGTGAGGAGGTCTGCCGTCGGACAGGAAGCTAGCAGCCAACACATGAAACAGAGAAAAATGTCTATTGTTTCATATTTTGCTCTATCATTTATATCATTGTGACGCAAATTACACTTTTTACGGCAATATTTTTCATCATTTGGAGTCTGTCCATCTTTTGCACGGATCTCATTGATAAATTACTCTTCTTAGCTTTTTAATTCGCGCAGCTTTTACGGCACTTACAGCAACATAACAAGTTCAGATAACTACACTGTAACTCCGGGGAAACTTTTTATTCATTGGATTAAAATGTGCTATATCGTGATATGTATCGTTATCGGGATATGAAATGACCTATATCGTGATATGGGATTTTGGTCATATCGCCCAGCCCTGCTCTGTAAATTGTGTTAAATGTGAAGTGTGCTTTGTTTTTCATGTTTCATGTATATATGTCCCTGTTTTTCCGTATTTTATGAGCTCTTATGAAACATAATCTGTTCTATGTACAGTACTGTTCTTCCTGTTTTAATGTATTTTATTTGATATTATTATATTTTTTATCATCTTATGTTTGATGCTGTGTCTCAAATCGCGTACTTCTGTACTTACACTTAATATGTTGAGTGCATAAGTGCGTTCACACCCGGATGGTGCACTCAAAACGGTCAAGAAGTTGAGTGTGGACCTATGGACACTTCTCGCCCTCAATGGTCGCCATCTTGGCTATGTAGCGGAATGGGAGGGACCACTTTTCAAACTGGAAATGGCGGCCGTGAACGTCGCCCGGTGTAAGCCAGCAGTATGTTTATTGGGTTAATGATTTGGTACCACGAGCGACAGCGCAAATGCTAATGTTAGTTTGCTAACTAGCTAACAGCTGCACGTTTGGCATTAAAAGAAGGAGAAGAGGTTGAAATTTGCGGTCGTCAATTCCGGTGAGTGCACAACGGCCGTGTTTGGTTTGAGACAACACTACCCTGTTGAAATTCACGCACTACGCCTTTAGAATCTGGCTTTTAATGTGGAGTAACATTACAGTCTTGACTTTTCAGTTTTAACCATTGATTATTACCTACTTTTATTTCTCCTGCTCATTTTTATTCTATTTTATTTACTTTCTTTTTATTCTGTGGAGTTTTAATCATCTTTTTTGTTAGTTTGTTCTGTTTTAGTTAGTTTGTTTTTTAATATTTCATCGTCTTGTGTCTGTGTCATTCTAATTTTGCCATGTGAAGCACTTTGGGCTGCATGTTTGTGTGAGAGGTGATGCGTAAATAAAGTTGAGTTGACTGTTGCTGTCATCACGCCTGCACAGAGACTGTGGATAAAAACTTGCCAAACTGGCTGAACTGGCACCTTCACAGAAATATTTATTAATGTGCACTGTCCCTGTAACCTTACACTGTGTTTTAATTTTAATTTATTTAACCTTTATCTATCTAAAAACCTCTTGAGATTAACAACCTCTTTTTCAAGAGTGTCCTGGCCAAGTCAGGCAGCGACAGACATTACAGACAACATCGAACAGAAATGTAAAGCTGTAAAACAAGCAAGATTAATACAAAGAAAAGCCCAAAATAATGTAAATATCTTCGAGAAATGAACCATAAAAATGCAAAAAAGGCAACGACACAATTACAAAGAGCAGCGAAGACACACTGTGACACTGGCATATAAAAGACTGCAACTTGAGTCCTTCTGCAAAAGAATATATACAGATAGATAAATAAAAACAATACATAGAGTTACTTATAGACAAATCCTTGTGAACATATATATCTAGAGAGACTTTGGTTTAGTGGGAATGAGGCTAGTGTAAAGATAGTGGTGTGGCAATGTGCAAAATCATCAGATGAAGCTATGTGGAGGGTGTTGTTGACATGTAAACAGTGGTTGTTGTGGTTAATTAAACAGCTGTCTCTTACTGTGTGTGAGCAGACAGTTAAATTACAGAGACATTAATCCATTCCTCATTGTGCTGTGGACCCTGAAGGTCCCTGGACCCTGGTTTCAGGACCCAAACGTTGCTAACAGCCACAGTTACCTTCACATTTGTTGGGAAGATGGACCCAGTCATCGTCTCCTCCACTCTTTGCTGCTGCCGTCGAGATTATCGAGAAAAACGACACGTATGTCGCTAAATTCATATCGTCGGTTGTGTCTGAGGCTTTATCTGCTCATAAAAGTCGGGTTTTGCTTTTAAAGAAGGCGGAAAAGGAGCGTTATCTCTCGGTTTCTACATCCTCCTCTGCTTCAGCACAGCTGCAACAAAATAGAGAAGTGATCACTTCCGCTTTGGGCTCGACGGATGCGGAGCTCCGGGCCAATCAGAGAGGGAGAAGTGGCAGCGGCTGGACCAATCAGAGGCAGAGGAGGGGCAGCGAGGGGGAGAACTGTAAGAGGTATCACTCTGCGGCGAATTTATGAGACAGCCAAACAGGAAGTGAACCTGTGATGTGTCAGACTTTTTGTTTTGTTTTTTCAGTGACAGATTTTTTTTTCAGTGACAGATTTTTTGTTTTGTTTTTTCAGTGTCACATTTTTTCTTTGTTTATTTCAGTGTCAGACTTTGTTTTGTTTTTTTGTTTTTGTCAATGTCAGACTTTGTTTTGTTTTTTGTTTTTGTCAATGTCAGAGTTTGTTTTGTTTTTTGTTTTTTTCAGTGTCAGACTTTGTTTTGTTTTTTCAGTGTCACATTTTTTGTTTGTTTTTTCAGTGTCACATTTTTTGTTTATTTTTTCAGTGTCACATTTTTTTTTCAGTGTCGATTTATTTTGTTTGTTTTTTCAGTGTCACATTTTTTGTTTTTCTTTAGTGTCAGATTTTGTTTTGTTTTTTCAGTGTCACATTTTTTGTTTGTTTTTTTCAGTGTCAGACTTTGTTTTGTTTTTCAGTGTCAGATGTTTTGTTTGTTTTTTCAGTGTCACATTTTTTGTTTGTTTTTTCAGTGTCACATTTTTTTTCAGTGTCACATTTTTTTGTTTTTGTTTTTTTTTCGGTGATAGATTTTTCGTTTTGTTTTAGTGTCACATTTTTTGTTTATTTTTTCAGTGTCAGATTTATTTTGTTTTTTTTCAGTGTCACATTTTTAATTTTTTTCAGTGTCAGATGTTTTGTTTGTTTTTTCAGTGTCAGATGTTTTGTTTGTTTTTCAGTGTCAGATTTTTTGTTTGTTTTTTCAGTGTCAGATTTTATTTTTTTTTTCAGTGACAGATTTTTTTATTTATTTTTTTTAGTGTCAGATCGTTTTGGTTTTTCAGTGTCAGATTTTTTTTTTCTCAGTTTCAAATTTCTGTCAATGTTTTATATATAATATATCATAAGGGAAAAAGTCAAAAGATTGTCATTGAAAAACACATCTGAATGCAAAAAATAAATAGAATAAAATAAAATAAAATTAAAATAAAATAAAAAACTTTTTATGCCTGTTTTTTATTTTTCAGTGGATTCTCTTTTCAGTGCCAGTGTTTCCTTTATCAGCACCAAATTTTGTTTTCCAAGCCAACACTTACTGTTCTAGCTCCATATACTGTACTTATAATATATATTAAGTGGGTACACATCCCCCCGAATATTTAAATATGCTCAATATATTGAGGAAAAACATAAAAACCTCTAAAAACACAAGCTGAAATAATCATGAGCAAATGTTATTGTAATAGTAAACAAACTTAATAAATTGCTAGAAAAATAAATTAATAGTAAACAACTGCTAAATAATTAACAATTAATTAATAAATTGTTGTCATGCCCCAATAGAAGCTATTGCTTAACTGCTGTGGGTAGATACAATTAATAATAGCCTTAAATACTCATCAGTAAAGTTAATATTTGTACAACCTTAAAGAACCCTCTTTAAAAACATTCAGAATATAGACAAGACTAAAACTGGAAAATTTGTTGTATTCAAGTGCTACTGAAGTGGAGAAAAAAACATACTCTAAGAAAGAGATAATGTACAAACCCCTCTGTAAAAACCTTCAGATTATACACAGGAATAAAACTGGAGAGGTTGGTAAATGTAAGTGGAGATGTTTGGCTCAGTGTATGAAAAAAAGACCTTTTAACTGTAAAATTTTATACATTTTTAGACCAAAGACAACACTACAGGTGAAGAAGGTCAAAATTTTAACTTGGATATCATCAAGAAACTTCCCCAGTTGATTATTTTAATTAAGATGATTTTTTTTTTATTACAGGCTGTCTGAAAGTTATGTTTAAATATGCAAATGAGACATTATCCAATTAAACAAGTGCTAATTTGCGAAACAAACACTTAAATGGGTATTCTGCACATTTTCTTTACACAAGTCTGAAAGACACAAAATAGCCAAAAATCTCTAAATTAACAAAGCATATAGAAACAATGCTGTGACTCCTGTTAAAACCAATGGGATGCCAGTTTGCCTTTTTCATTTGTATCTTTGGCTTCAGTTTTCATCAGTTGTTTTGCAATTGCCTATTTCATCCAACAGAGGGAGCCATGCACACACCCACAGCACAGGCAGGTATCACTAGTTATGCAACACTGAATTGAAAACAAACCCTAAGTGTGTATGTGTGTGTGTGTGTGTGTGTGTGAGACCGTGCTGCCCTGTCAGCATCACCGTGATCAGAGTTCTAATATGTCAAGGCCAGTTTGTTGCCAACGGCAACACACGTGCCGGCATTTGTTCGGTGCAGGGTCACCGGACATGATTATTTAGCCAACAGCCTTTGACAAGCTGCATGCCACGCTCAAATAGGTGTGTGTGAGTGAGTGTGTATATGTGTGAAAAATACAGAGTGGGAAGAAACACAAGAGTTGTTACGTTCAACAATGACATTAATCATCAATACTCAATAATGAGTCACCTGCAGCACACACACTGCACGCAGCAATATCCTGTGACTGCCTCCCTAAAGAGAGCGTAGTTAAGATCAATTAAAACAGATCAAGTGTCCAGTCAACGGTTTAATCTCTTTAAAGTGGTGCTCATACAAGTCTGGCATATGTTAGACTCCAAGTAACCATAGCAACCATGCTACAAATGCTTTGACGGCTAATTCAGGCATCTTGATATCTGAAAACTTTTTTTTAAATGAATGTTTCTTTGTTTTTATTTTGACCAGGATACAAACAGTTGATTGTCTTTCATGTAGAGTCTGATCCTGAATCATCTCTCACAAAATGAAGATTTGAACCAGCTCTAAACGATTAGCCTTTGAGTCAAATTACGTAATTAAAGCAGCAATCTCCCATTGGCTGCTACTTAATCATTTCTACACCATAAATAAATCTCAAAGCCTTTTTCTCATAATTAAATAAAGCATCTAAATTCTTGTTAAGCTTTTGGCGTCTTGATGAATTAAGTTTGTGGAGCATTTAGGGCGATATATTGACAGAAATGGAATATAATATCATAAGTCTGTTTATAATCACCTGAAAATAAGAATTGTTTTGTTTCTTTACCTTTTAGTGGAGTTTATATCTACAGAGGAAGCGAGTCCTCATCCATGTTGCACCACCATTTTTCCACAGTAGCCCTGAACGGACAAACCAAACAATGGTTCTACATCAGGCCATTCACGTTTTAGCATCAGCCAATGTAGTTAGCAACCCCTCCACAATGAGCAGCATCTGAAAAAATGCAGATTTGGAGATTATTTGCAGTTTCTTGTCAAACACAGAGGACCTCAGAATGTTCCCTGAGGAACTCTTCAACTCTCTTGCAGGGCTTTCACGTTTTCAGAGCCAGAATCAGCAGCCCAGTCATCAGAAGAAAATGTTGGCATTTCGACAAGTACATTACATGTTCACAATTCTAAAGTGATGCAATGTATGAGCTGACGCCTGCCAAGCTGCAGACCACTGTTTAAGACCAACTAACAACAAAACTGGTTGTTTTTTTAGTGAGTCATTGCTGTGTTGCCAGTGGCTTTTTAGGAACCAATTGTGGGTGTTTCTTAGGGACCCACTGTGTTTTTCCACTGACTTTTTAGCTGCCAAATATGGCTGGATTTTGGGGACCAGCTGTGTTTTTCCTATGGCTTTTCAGCCCTAAAATGTTGGTGTTTTTTAGTGACCTGTTGCTGTTTTTTCAGCAGGATAGTGTCATGAAAAATGTGTGTTTTAAGCCAACCACAGAAGACCTCAGAATGTTCCCTGAGGAACTCCCTCCAACATAGGTCATACACAAACAACTATTGATTGTTTTTTAGTGAGTCATTGCTGTGTTTCCAGCTGCTTTTTAGACACCATAACATAGGAGTTGTCAGCGACGTGTGACTCTTTTTCCAGCTGCTTTTTAGGAACCAATTGTCGGTGTTTCTTAGGGACCCCCTGCGTTTTCCATTGACTATTTAACCATAAAGTGTGGGTGGTTTTTGGCGGCCTTCTGTGTTTTGCCTTTGGATTTTTTTTTCTTTTTTAAATGTGGTCTTTTTCCTGCAGTTTTTCCAGCACCCAGATGTTGGTGTTTTTAAGCAACCCATCATTGTTTTTCTAATGGGAATAGTGTCATAAAAATGGGTCTTTTAAACCAAAACATGATCTTTTCCTAACCATAGCCATTTCTTGTCAACCACAGAGGACCTCAGAATGTTCCCTGAGGAACTCCTTCAAACATAGATCATAAACTCTCTGAACTCCTCAACTACACAAACAACCAGTGGTTGTTTTCAGAGAGTCAGTGCTGTGTTTCCAGCTGCTTTTTAGACACCATAGCATGGATGTTGTCAGCGACGTGTGACTCTTTTTCCAGCTGCTTTTTAAGAACCAACTGTGGGTGTTTCTTAGGGACCCCCTGTGTCTTTCCATTGACTTTTTAACCACCAAATGTGGGTGGATTTTGGGACGTGTGGCTCTTTATTTAAGTGGCTTTTTAGGCACCAAATGTGGCTGTTTTTTAGGGACATGTTGCTGTTTTTCCTGCAGCTTTTTAGCACACAAACGTGGGTGTTTTTTAGCAACCCATCACTGTCACCATAAAAAGTGGGTATTTTAAGCCAAAACATGATCTTTTTCTAATCAAGTGGTTTTTGTGTCTAAACCGAACCATGTAACCACAGTATATCCGTGGTTTTCAGGAATGTATGATGACATTTTTTTTCTGGCGATTGGGTTGCCAAGTAGGTTTTCGCTTAAAAGGAATTTATCTCAGTATTTTGGTGCATAACGGTAAATTGGTAAGATAGAGGATAAACAAGTGTTGTAAAAGTGCTTGTACAGTGCGTAAAATGAAGCGGATGGATTGTGCAAATCACTGACTAAAGAATGTGCGGTTGCATAAAGAACATATGCAATGTGCGGAAATATTAACCTGGAG